CTTGAGACTCTCCTTCCTCCAATCAATTCTAAATTCTTTCAGCCAGAGGAATATTTTCATAGCACAAATGTGGTTAGAGCACTAAAAATTATCTAAGACATAATGCCAGATCAAACACTGGTGTTATTTATTATTTAACCTCTCTAAACTCCAATTGTCTTATCTGTAAAATGAAGGCAATAATTGCAGCTACTGCCATTTATGGTTAGGATGAAATAACAAAAGCATGTTAGTGTCAGGGGGTATCTAGCACATAGTAAGCATCAATAATCTGTGTGTTGGATTATTAGGATGATGTTTATGATCTTGATACCACCATATACCAAATTAAAAACTTTCCAAGACTCAATATTGACTTCATGCTAAATTAAAAACCTCTTTCTTTGGCTTAATGGCCCTGGAAAATCCAACCACTTCCTGTAGTCCAACTACATTTTATTTCTGCACCCTTCTCCTGCACACTGTTTTATAACTTTTTGTCTTTGAATACATGCCCCGGTTTTTATAAATGGGATAGTCTTCCTCCACCACCTGCTTTCTCAGAGTCTATTCCATTCCTTAGTTTTTAGTATAGGAGTCACTATCTCAGGAAAATTTTCTCCTATTTCATCCTTCATCAAAAAATTGTATGTCAGGTGTTTCTTTAATTAGCTACTACAATGCTAATTTAATATCTATCATGTCAACATATTGCTACCTCCTCTCTCCATTTGTCTGCAACCTTAGGCTATAAACTTCCACATCAGGCGTCAGGTCTTCTACAATGGCCTGCTCTTGGCATCTGAAATCAGCATGACACATGCTTTGGGTTGATGTGATTTGTTTCCCTTGGGTTCAGGTAGTGAAGCTTACTCCTCAGTGTGGTGATTTTGTGAGTAGGCAGAACCTAAGAGGTAGGCCACTATGCACGGTAAATAGGCCACTGGGGATACTTCCCTCTGAATGAATAATTTATTCCTCATGGCATCCTAAATTACTTCTATGGGGATAAGTTTCATCAAAGAGCTAGCCTCATATCCAGCTTGCTGTATGAGTTCTCCCTCACGTACACTCCAGCAGTTGTGCCGTCCACCACTAAGCCCTCACCAGCGACTGACATGATGGAACTGTCTAAAGTTGAACTTCCAACCTCCTAAACTATGAAATAAATCTATTTTCATTATCAGACTCAGGTATTTTGTTATAGCAACATAAAATGGTCAAATACAGCACATATTAGGCACTTGATAAATATTCGTTTAAAGAATGAATAAGTGACATTTAGAACCTCACTCATATTGCCTCAAACCAACTTTTCCATGTCAATCTTTCCTTTTGCTCCCCTAACACTAATGCTGTGTTGAATAAATAAATTGGCTCAACAATAGCAGCAGTTGTAACTAAAGATATTCCCCTTTGTATTCACATTGCCAAACCAAACACAGTAGTTTGGGTAAAAAAAAAAAAAAGTACAGAAAATGAGAGGGAATGCTGAAACTAAGAGTAAGCATGTAAGTCAGCATTTTATCACTGTGGAAAGTAATTGAGAAAAACAACTTAGAGGAGGAGAAATTGAGTTTGGCTCTTATTTCATAGGTTTCAGTCCATGGATCCATCACCTGGGGGGCCTTAGGTGAGGAAAAATATCATGGTGGAAGGATGTAGCAGAGGGAAGATTCTTGGTTCACATCAGCCAGGAAGCAGAGACAGAAAGAGGCAGAGAGAGAGACAGACAGACAGACAGACAGACACACACACACACACACACACACACACACACACACACAGAGACTGAACACAAGAGATATCCTCTAGGGCATTCCCCCAATGGCCTTCCTCCAACTAGACCCCACCAAAATTTCTACCACTTCCCTTATGCCATCAAATTATGAATCCTTCAGTAGAGTCAGAGCCTCCATGATCCAATCACTGTACAAAAGCCCACCTCTGAACACTGCAGCATTGGGAAACAAGTCCTCGACATATGAGTCTTTGAAGGACACTTCATATCCAAACCTAAGAGTAAGATTGCTCATTAAGGGAAATTTCTGACTTGAGGGTAAAATTATCCTAGTTGAAAAACAAATAAACAAACAAAAAACTTAAACTATGTCATTCAAGGTTTGTAGTTATAAATGAAGTCTACTTTCATAAGTTAAAGCAGAATTTTCATGTATTGCAGAATTATCTATATATCCCACTCTTTGATATTTGTTCAAATGAATTAAAGTTAGCATACTTTAGAATACAGGTGTACCTATGTTTATCATAGCATAATTCACTGCAGCCAGGTTATGGAACCAGCCTAGATGTCTGTCAAAAAGTGAATAAATAAAGAAAATTTGGTATTATATTCATTCCTAAAGAAGAATGAAATTGTGCTATTTGTAGGGAAATAGATGGAAATGGAGAGCATTATGTTTTATCTCTTATATGGAAGATAGTGTGAGGGAGTACATCATAAAAATAGAAGGGAGACAAATAAGGTAGAAGAATGGGAAGGGGCAGGAGGGAGGAGAGGGTAGGGGAGATATTTGGTAGGAAACTTGATTGAATTATGTCATTCCCATGTACCATTATGCCATGGTGAAACTCACTCCTCTATATAATGTACCAACTTTAAAAAAGAATATTAAGTAGATCATAGTGTCTGCAAAATGTCCCAAGAACCAGATCTGGAGCTTACAGAACCAGGAACAACATTCCACATTTGTTAGAGTCTGTAAACAAGTCTGGATGGAGCCTGGCATTTTGCCAGAGGGAGTGGTTTATGAAGTAACGCCAGCGAGCCATTAAGTGTGGAGATTCCTTATTGGTTGACTGCTGTATCGAGTTTATGTTAATTAAGATAAGCTGTGTGGAATGTATATATACCGCTCCTGTCCTACAATAAACGGCTCCCACTCCTGCTGTATCGTCACCCCCTGGTTATTTTGCTGAGGCCAGACTGCGGCACACATTCATTTGTAGACTTGTCCTTGGAGAGTGTCTGCCCTGCCCCTCCACTGAGTACAAAGAGCATTTAGCATAACTAACAACCTGAGGTTGGATACATGGTTCTACTAGAACATCTCCAATTGCTGCATACACTGAAGGTGTCTTTCTCAGTCTCGCTATAAGACAAAGAAGGCTTGGGGACTGGGTATCAGGATTTTATAGGGATCCTCAGAGAGAGGTAGAGACTCATATAGTAGGAAATTCTCCCCAAACAGAATGAATGTTTAAAGGTGCTGGAGGTTAAAAAGAAATGATAACTCAGATCTAGAAGTACAGGATTCTAGTCTCATTTTTCCAGAATTTAAGCAAATTATTTAATCTTTCCAAAGTTATAGTCAGAAATTGAGGTTTTTTTAGACCTATTATAATACCTATTGTAATCCTTATTTAGCTAAAACTTTACCACATTTTATATTCTTCATCTATAATATGAGAAAAGGTACCTCCAAGGCTTGTTCTATAAACTAAATGCTTTCATAAATTACACAAAATATTATTTGCTACTAATATCATTATCACTAAATGGGGATAATAATATTTTCCCATGCACAAAACATTTCATAATGAGATAAAATTGAGTCATTTTGAATTAAAAAACAGTTTGTATGAATGTTAGAAACATATTCTTAATAACTTCTATGAAAAAGTAGAATACTAAATATAATTAGCATGCATAAATATTTTCTTATGTTGTTATAAGAAGTCTTTTTATTATTGGTTGTTCAAAACATTACATAGCTCTTGACATATCATATTTCATACATTTGATTCAAGTGGGTTATGAACTCCCATTTTTACCCCGTATATAGATTGCAGAATCACATCGATTATACATCCACGTTTTTACATACTGCCTTACTAGTGTCTGTTGTATTCTGTCTTTGAAAAATTGTGTCTTTGAAAAATTCACGATTTTTAGTTTTCTTTTCTATTATTGAATCTTAGTTCATTTTCTGTTGTTACACCTGAATACCACGGATGAAGTAATTTTTTTTTTTTTTTAAGTAGAGGTTCTAAAGTCTGGGCAATTCAGGACATGGTGCCAACAACTGGTGAGGACTTTCTTCCTGAATCATGGCAGGCAAAACCTTTGACAAAATAGAGCAAATTTTCCAGAGAGAGTTCACTTTTACAACAAAGCCACTCCATGATGATCACTAGTACACCCATCGATGAATGAATTAAGCCATTCATGAGAGGTTATTTATTCCTTAAAGGTTCCATCTTTCAAATACCATTAACAGGACTCGGGGCACAGTTTAGTGGAGGAATGCTTGCCTAACATCTGTGAAGATATGAGTTCAATCCATAGTCTACAAAAAAAAAAAAACCACACATTAACATAAGACTTTCAGAATTAAGTTTCCATCCCTTGAAATTTGGGTGACTTCTTTGATAGTAAATCAAGTGACCAGATTCTATACCACATGACAGTGTTTGTTATTTTCTATCTACTCTATCCCTCCCCTACATCTTTTTGGGGTGGGAGAGTCTGGCAGGAGTTTGGTTCTCCACGTTTTTCAAAACAAAATGTAAAAACTGAAATATCAAAAATAAATAAAAATTATAAATGACAAATGCTTTAAAATATTTATTAAAATAATAACTTTCTGTCCTCTTCAAAGAAGTCAGTTTTTCCCTTAAGTTCAAAAGTAAGTGGTTCTTCTGGAATAGCAGGAAAGGAAACTGAAATGAAAACCAGGACAAAAAAGTTTCCAGAGATGGAAATTTGAGATTGATGAGAAAGATGCTCAGAGACCTCAATAAAATTCCAACTCAATTATTTTTGACTGATTATCCTTATGGTCCGATAGCTCTTACCTATTCTGTTGCCAAGTACCTAATAAAGGCCCTGAAATATCTTCCTTCTCTTAGTAATTCATAATATATGATTTATCAATCTACACATTTCCTTTTAGATTACTCTTAACATTAAAATTATTACTATACAGCAAATTATGAAGTTTTGGAAGATGGAATATATTATTTTCTTACTGCTCTCTTTCTCTTTTCCTGTTGTATAGAGATGTAAAACACACTGATACCTCTGGTCTTTAATTCTCTGGGAATCAAGTCCTTAAGAAACAATGACTTGAGGAAAACCTCACAAATGCTTGGTGTACCGTGCAAACTCAAGTTGGCTCACAGTTCATGCTGCCCTGTCCTTACGCTGCATGGGGCCAAAGGACTTCGAACAGGGCCTATTCACCCATTTCCAGTTGAAAGAAAATATATTTCACATCCCTATCAAAAAAAAAAAAAAAAGGTAAGTAATTCCAATTCCAAGTGATCTCTGATCATTCCAGTCTGTCTTATTTCCCATATTTTGACTCCTTCGGATAAATGAGTTTCCTACTCATTCTTCCCATTCAAACAAGGATAGTTCTGAAATCATATGTTTATTAGTTGACCAATTATATTTCACAATGAAGATTCTATAACACTAAATTCAAGTATAAACGTTTTTTTGAAAAAAGAAAATTTATTCTTAAAGGAATTTCAGAAAATAGCAATCTCATTAGGGATAAGTTTGAAGGCTCTAGAGAAGATTGAAATCTCACTGTCAAAAAGACTAAAGTTATTCCTGTAAGGAGAACAAAATTTGCCTTAAGTCCAATATGTTCTGAAGTTTCAATGCAGGGAATATTGTTCTATGAGGTAAGAAGTGAAAGAATAGACTTCTCAATTAATTATTTCTACTAGAACATGGACCTAGAAAGTAGGGACATGAGGGACTGCAAGTAGAAAAAAAGTACACCTCTAATAACCTGGCTAAAGATAAAAAAGGGGGGGGGGGGACACACATGACATTTGCCAGCAAATGGATGGATCTAGAGACTATCATGATAAGTAAAATAAGCCAGTTCCAAACAACCAGAGTTTGAATGTTTTCTCTGATATATGGAAACTAACCCAAAATAAGGCAGGAAGTATAAGGACAAGAATAGAATTTCAGTAGATAAAGACAATGGGGAATGAAGAGAAAGATGGAGGGATAAAAAAAGGAAAGACAATGGAATGATTCTGACATCATTTTCCCATGGACATATATGAAAACAACACAATGTATCCCACCATCGTGTACACCCATAAAAATGGGACCCCAACTAGAATAAGATATATCCTGTGCTTGTGTAAATATACCAAAATGGATTCTGCTATCATGTAGAACTAAAAAAAGGACCAATAAATTTTTTTTAAATGTTGTTTTTAAAGTGGAACACAACTGTTCTCTAAATTCCCAGTACTAGAGTTGACACAGTCCTGAGCACTTAAACAAAAAAACCACTTAAAGCTCAGAGGTAATAGAAAGGGAAACAAAACAAGAAAGGAACATACAATCAGGCAATATGGTTCATAAAATATAATTTACTCATGTTTTATCCTGTGTTCTCCTAGAGAAGCATTTCCTCCCATAGCTCCAAACTCAATGTTCTGAGGCCTTTGCAGACAAGGCCATCTTTAACGAAGAGGGGAGGGTGACTCACAGAGCAGCAGGTGTTTGCTCTTGCCTTTCTAAAGCCCACCTTGTAAATGTCCATTCTTTTCGCAGAATCCTCCGCTTCACCACATGATTGACTCCAGGAATAGCTAACTCTATCAGGTGAGACCTCTTACCTTCCTCCCACCCACACAGGTGTGGCCTTACCATTTCACAAGAGAAACCTATCAGAATACCAGGAAAAAGGCATGAAACAAGGCGCGCGCGCGCGCGCACACACACACACACACACACACACACACCACAGCCATACCCACCTCAGAGTGAAGGGTCCCATTCATTGCAGCATCATATTTATTCCCCACAGTAAAGTTTACAAGCAGAAGCACCCAAAATGAGTTTCTCCTCCAGAGGATGGCTTGTCCCATTTCTCTGCTGCAGCTTTGTCTTAAGAGACCAGGTCCAGAAGACAGAAGCAGAAAGGAGCAAACAGTTGTCTGACTCAAGGTCCTGAACATGTCGTGCTGTAGCACAGACACATCTGGCAAGCTGGTGTGTCCTTAAGAGAAAGGAAATGTAGAATCAAGATTCCTTATTATTATACTCTTTCTTAAACCTCAGAGATCCAGGTGTCTGATAGTTCATGACATAAAAGCAGATAGAAAATATACTATTTCCTCTCTTGATTTGATTAAGATTATTCCAGAAAATTTACATATGGTGTAAATTTTTAGGGCCAATAATATTTCTTTAAAGTACATAAAAGCACTATTGCTATTTTTTTCTTCGTTCCATAAATATAGAAACATGAGTGGTGAGATGGTTTCTTGACACATGGTCAAACAGATCTACTCCCCATCATATCCTCCTGTTAACAAAATTAGAATAAATTGACATAATTCTTCAGAAATATTTGTTAATGCATATCATGTGATTGATGTTCTCATAGCTAGCTTTATGATACACAAGGAGATAAATTTGGTCCTTTTGTTTCAAGAGAGAAACTATTTTGCTGAAACCATTGAATTAAAACTATCTCTACCATGTGATAACTTTATAATGATAGTAAAATTGCTCATTGGTTCTCTTCTCTTTTCCATGAATTCTCACAGGGTAATTTTGAAAATTATATTAGAATTCATTAGAATTAGTGTTATTTGAATGACTTAAAGACCTCAGGCACTGCAAGCATTCAATAAATTTAACTTCCCATTTTTTCCTTTTCTAGTTTTTACTAATATTTGGCTTAGAACTGATTTTCCCCAAATTCAAGGCAGAATAGCTAGTAAAATTAATTTTAATAATTTCCACAAAGTGCAATCATATAACTATTTAGAATGAGATTCCCTAACCCATATGAATGGCTTCTCACTTATTACTTGATTCATTTATCAATTCATCTAACACCAACTGGGTGCAAAGCAGCATGCCAGGCACAGAGTATAGATAAGTGCCTATCACTGCTCATGGACATCATTTCAAATCAAAAAGAAAGATCTTAGACAAATAATTACAAAATTAATTACATTACAATAAGCATTTCAAAGGTTAAGTACAGGAAAATATAAAAACTATAATGGAGCTTATCAGAGTTGGCCAGGAAGGTTTTTCTTAGGAAGGAAGTGTTAAGCAGAGTTTAAGAACAGAATAGAAATTATGTGATGTGTGGGAGGGGGGGCAGGGAGAGGGACTCAGGGAAAGAAGGGAGTTGATTTTACACAAACCTGAATAAAACTCAATTGGCAAGATACTGAAAATGCTGGGGGGTGAATCTGAAGTATTCAGACCAGTCAGGTGCCCTTTTGGACACATTAAGGACTTTGGTTCTAAGTGTGAAAGTGAGGGGAAATCATTGAAAAATCTCAAGGAAGAGAATATATTACCTTTGGATAAAAACTTAAGATGTCATCTACACTAGCTTCTGGTGTCAAAAGTGGGCTATGTCCAGGCAAGAGTGAAATCTAGGCCACTAGCTGGAAGGATTATGCAGTCATGTGGGTAAAAGAGGATGTTGGCAGACACCAGTTTTGGCGAGGGAGATGGGGAAAAGAGAATTGTATTGAGGGAGGAGGAGACAGGAAAGAAATAGAATAATTTAAGGTGTCCCCAAGGCTTCTGATGTCTGCACTCGCCAGACAAAGGTGCCATTCACTCAGAGAAGTGCAAAGAGTCAGGGTGAATGATTATGAGATCCACTGAAGGCTTCTAGATGTCTGTGGGACTCAAGTGGGGCTGAGGAGTTAAGAGATATAGACGTAGGGCTCAGAGGACCAGCCTTGCCTGGAAGTAAACATTTGAGAATTGTCTAATACAGGGGCAGGGAAGTCAAGATTGTGGGTAAGATCTTCTGGCTACACATTTTTAGACCACATATTCAGTGAAGCTGCCATAGAGGTCTCCCTGACTTTTTTATAGTCTCTCAGCTAAACTTACAACTGGTTCAAACCTGATTTAAAATAATTTCAAGACTTAGGCTGTAGACTTTTAACTGATCAATTTGTGTAACTGCTTAAGAAAGTCCAATGTTATTTCTTGACAAAAATGTTGACTCTCTGTGTAGATAATACTATATTAGCCAGAGCTTGCGCTGGTCTGTTGATCTTTTAACTGGGATAGACTTCAAATTCAAGTACTCAAGTGTACACAACTGAAAGAGATCTTTGTCCCTTCAAATCTGGGGCTTAAACCACCTGACTTTTATTCTAGTTACAACAACTATAATACTGCTGCTTCCTAGAAAAATCCAATCATGAATGAAATAAATCAATTTCACCTGAGATAAGTAATTATAGGGGGAGAAGGAACAAGATATTGCCCTCTGTTAAGTTGAATAATCAGTAAAGAAAGTGTTTGCACAAAAGGCTTTTTAAAAATTATTATTATTATTTTATACTGCTTTAACTGGGTGGGTCACTTGCTTGTATCTTTGAAGATTAAGGTATTAAAGAACAAATTTCTACAAGCTTTCAAAGCTCTGCCTGTTTTGAAGCATACGGTGATAGAAGAGGAAAAGGGAGAGAAGTTAAATTTTAAATTTATATTCATCTTTGTTCCATAAAGAATTTGAGATGCCTTACAAGAATACATGAAATGAAATATGTGAATATATATTCAGAACAAAGGAAAATACAAACTGGAGTAGATGTCTATGACTGAGGGAAAAGTTAAAATGTGAGTATGTGGGCCAGAGACTCCTACATAGGTACTAAAGTTGGAATGCAGATTTGAGGCTGAAATGTTGCCCTTTGAATGAAGGGAACCACCATTATATATATATATATATATCCACCATTATATATATATCCACCATTATATATATATCCACCATTATATATATATTACTGTACATAAAGAAAATATTGCTTTTCATGTAAAAGAAATTCATTACTTAGAATCTTCTTGAGAAAACACTGAAAGATAAATTGGAAAATATGCTCAAAATTATTCCTAGAATCAATGCAGATTTAAAAACTTAATTCCAAAGCAACAACTTCTTAACAACAATTCTGTAAGGTAAAAGAAGTGGAAGAAAGATGGTCAATGTGACCAGAGGATGTGGCTCTGTAATATCCTAACTTAATCTATAGTTATATGTGCAACATCTGGATGGCTGATTGTTTACTGGTTTAGATGGGAATTTCCAAGGTGATCTGATCGCACAATTGTCCATGCACGTGTGTGCACGTGCGCGCATACACACACACACTATAGCATATAAATACAAATGGTTCACAAGTCCTTTTGTGTCCAGGTCATAGCATGAGATCTTAAGTATTTAAAAAGTATTTTTAAAAATCAAAGGTAATATAAGTGTGTGAGGAAGAGTATACACTCTGGCATTAAACAAACCACAGTCTGATAACTCTTTCTGTTACTGGCTAGCTGTAGAACTTTAAACAAGCTATTTAATTTTCTCATCTCTAAAATGGAGTTAATAACATTGTTCACCTCATAGGGTAGAGGTAAAGGTTGAGTAAAATAATGCAAATCAAAGGCTCAACACAATGCCATTAACATAGTAAAAACTTAAGAGTAGCTATTATTTTTGGCTTAATTAGTAAAGAAATTAATTGAAAATACCTTGTGTGACTATTAACGATGCCATTTTCATTTCCCTGCATGACTAAGCACATTACACAGGGGCCCATCAAACCACTAAGCCCTGCTTACCTGTAAGTGTAAAGGATTCCTTTAGGAAGGTTCTTTAGTGATGGAAGCATGTGAATCCCACTGGAAAGAGGCAAACATAAATGGTCTCGGTACATTATGAAGGTGCCAACTCTCAGCCCCTACTCCTCATTCGACAACTTTGGCAGGACACCCATAAGCTCAGGACACATATTACGAAGTGTCACTAAGCTTTTATTGATCTGAATCCATTTCTGGACTCTCCTTTGATGGCTTTAATTCTTGTGACTCCTCTCTTCCAGGCAACTCTCTCTTCTATTCCCTGAGTTACTTTACCCCGTGTGTTTGCTATCTTTGGCCTAACTTGGAAGTCCCATTTTTTTTGTCCTTTGAAAACTGTCATCTGCAATAAGGGTTTTTTTGTTGTTGTTGTTGACCAAATAACCAACAGAATGACCCTTCAAATCATTACTCTTCCTTCCATGTTTATTGCACTCGTTCAAAGATTCCTCTGTATTTGTTGCTGGATGTACAACATGATTTCTTTCATTTTTTTTTTCCATCTGAGAACTATTTTGGACACTTCAAAGAGGCTTTTTCCCCATAACCAAGAATTTACTGTATTGACATGAAAATTTAAAGCTTTAGGGATTGAAAATCTCCCCAAAGCCTTGCAAAATTAGGGTTAGAGTGAAGCCGAGACTTGCAGATCTAAGTGTCAGTGAGCTGTTAGCAACTTTGTCTTGCTCCTGTGTTTTTATATCATGTAGTTCAAACAAAACCCATGTACAGCTAACCCCACTGCCATCTTCTCTTTGTTGTCATAATTTCTGTTTTTAACATTTAATGGAAATGTTATGACCACAAATTTCTTCATTCAGTTAATCATTTCATATTTGGACAACATTCTAACTGCAAACCAATGTACCTTTTATGAGTACCTACAATAAAAAATAAATAATTAAGGTGCATCCTATATGCCAGGGCACATGCTGGTGCAGTCATACATTACCTCCTTTTGACTTTCCCAAGCTCTTGTGAGAACCGTTAGCCTTCCCAGTTTATGGGTGATGTCAAGTAAGCTCACAGGATTGAAGTGACTTGCTGTTGCCAATGAGTGTAAAGTTTTGTGTGACTCAAGTTTGTGTGACTCTAACACCCTTGCTTCTCTCACTGGCAAGGAAGGATTCATTTAATTTCACCAGAAATAATGAAAGAACTTTATAAAATTATGTATTTTTGAAGCCCCGGAGCTTCTAGCTCAGTAGATCTCAGTGGAACCTAGAAAACTTGTAAGGACTCAATTAATAATGTCAATTGTTAGTTATTAGTTATGCTGCTTTAGTTTTTCTAATAGGACCAAGAGCATTTAGAGTAGAGGTTATTAATATTCAAAACATTGTGCGACTATGCAAATGTGCCTCTCTGGGAAGTATTCCATAACCTTGCTCAGATTCTCAATGAAGCCTGTAAACCCAGAAGGTTAAAAACCACTGAAGGAGGCAAACACAAGTTAGCTTACTCCCTTTTCTTTTTTTCAATCAGGATTTCTACACACATCTGACTGCATCTTACCATTTAAGAACATCGGTGTACTCAGGGCAGGCATGTTGATTTTATATATTGCTACTCTAAGATCAACAGGTCATTAAAATGTCTCTAAGCTTTCTAAAGTGTTCAAATCACAAATACCTTGAACTATTCTATTTTTTTGCATTAATGTTCTTCATCTACCCCAAAGTGCTTGGAATTTCTAAAGCCATGGGATTCAGATTCACATTGAGGTTTGGGAACAACTAGACTTTACTAAATATCTTGGTATAATGTTCATCCCATTTACTAATCAAAACCACTTTATTAATTAGCATCAGTTAATGCAAGTTTTCTGAAGTGCATTTCCTTTGTGTACAGATATTAGAGTAGTCTTCAAATAGAATACATTTTACTGCTATGACTGCATTAATAGTCATCGCTTTTGTATGAGTGTCAAGTTGTTCATGAATGTGAATCTCTGAACCTTAGCATTGTTATCCTGGTGTGGGATGGCATTCATCATCCTAGCACTGGATCTTGTTCTTGGCACTGATTTCTAGATATGATGTATCACACCCTGTTGCTTCCTCATTGTCCACTTCTGATTTTTTTGGCTGCAATGCCCAGCTGCATGGGATGAATTGCCATTAATTCAGCTCATTCTACTTTGCCAACGATTGGTCTGGTGATGGGCTTATGACACAGTTCTGCCCAATGACAATAAGGCGAGGGTATGCTCCCTTCATCTGTACTCTCTGCCCTCCAACTAGGGGACAATGTGGATTTACCAAGCCAAGGACAGAGATTGTTGGCTTCTAGTTTCTTGTTAAGGAGGACATATTGATTGTACAGTTCAAGCTGCTTACTACTTTCAATCAAAAGCATGGTAAATTATGCAGGTAGTGATGAACTATTTTCAACTATGCACACAGCTATTCACAGACATCTTACTCCTCCTCAAAATTGTGACCAACAGAAAAGCCTGAATAAGGATACCCAGTGGACAGAGCAGAATCAACAGGACTTCATAGGAATAGAATTGACAGTACAAAGGAATAGTGTTGTGCTTCCTATCCAAAGACTTGAATTAGACGAATATCTGCTAAATGAAAAATTGAAGTCAATTTATTCTCCAAAACTAGGTTTATGAACTTAGGAGTATTTTTTCTGAGTCTTGATTCTAAAATATCCCCCCTCCCTTTCTCTCTCTTTCAGCAAACACACACAAACTTCTTAGGGAAGAAGGAAGGATCCCATCATGGAGGGATTTTAATATTATTTTTTTAAACATAGGTTTTAACCTATGGGTCATGGTCAGAGAAGACCCTGCACAAGTACCATTTCTTTCCATGTGCTTGTGCCCAAGGTATATATCAGTAAGAGATCCCCAATCTTTCCCACAGAACCTAGTCACAGTCTGACAGACCTCCTCAAGTCAGTGTTTCAGCAGCCACCATTAATGGATTAGAATTTGCATTTAAGAAAGATCCCATCTGCCATTCCAATTATAGTAGATTGGCAGTAAGCCAAGAGCTGTTGTCGAACTCACTGTATACAGTTAATGGGGGAGCTTATAAAAAAATGTAGTCTCAAATTTATTGCATTTGAGTGGGGCCTGATAGCCTCTATTGTTAATAACTTCTAGATGTAGTCATGCACTGCTAAGTTTCAGAACCTATGATACAGAGCATTTGGGATAAAAAAAAAAAAGTCATAAAAATCTGAAGTTGCAAAGTGGTAGCCCATATAAATTTGACTTTCAAATAAGTGATGTTTATATTTTACATATTTATTTCCTAATATTTAAAAAATGAAAGGGAGAAAAACACATAAAATTGGTTGTTTTGAGTTTTGTCTTTTGCTTCTCTTGAAAGCACAGAAAATATACAATGCTGGGCCTCCATTCCAACACTAACCACTGACTGGAGCTGAACAGAGGGGATGTCTTTGGATAGGCATGAACTTTTGTCATGTCTTTTCACTCCCTGAAGCCTCTCTGCCACCGCAGGTGAATTTCACTGATGTTTACCATTGTGCATTCATTGTTGTTTTGCTTATACAGATAATTGTCAAAAGCAGGAAAACAAATGACAGACCAGAAAGGCCAATCTTCAAGGAAGAAAATCCGGTGATATTAAGGCATCAATCTCCTTCTCATGAAATATCAAGGAAGAAGATTAACGATGTCCTTGTGCAATAGTTTTGACAAACAAGTCTAAGTCAGTTTCACAATTAATGATATCAGGGAGGCTTCATTCTGCCACTGTTTTTCTAATATGTTAAGGAGCCAAAGTCTAATAGGATCACAGCAGAGAAAGAAAGTCCATCCCAGAATATGATAGTCTTTGTGGTACAGAATCCAATATGATGAGGCTAGGTGCAGTTTGCCAGAAAAATCAGCTCATTATATAACCCCATTTCCCAATCTTATGAGGACCTGGGAATTGTTTTCTTAAAACCTGTGCTGTAGTGTGGTGGTTTGTGAACAGTCATATTCTATCCCCTGAATATTTGTGATCTCATAAATGGTCCTCCAATTGTATTCTGAAAAAAAAAATCAAGTACGTTAGGCAAGATTTTAGATGTAATCATTCTATTCCACTTCACAGCAAGTAGAATTCTGTAAGGATATCCATGTTATTGAGACTCTTTTTATAAGGTTTCATTACAGACTACACACAAGTGCATTCCAGTTATAAGTATTTTAAACAGGGAGATACAGAGAGTTAAAAAAAATGAAAATACCCCATGCTCACTCTTACCTTCCTATTGCCTGTCCTTTTATACCCATAGACACTACTCTTCTTATTAGAAACATAATAAGCAAACCAGTGTGCATTTTCCTAGACATTTTTTGCATAGTTGTATTACATAATCTATGCTTTTGTCTGGAGAATTTCTCCTCATTTATAGAATTGCACTATGAATTTTTTCTACAACTTCCTTTTCATATAGTAATATGTTTGGGAAATCTTTCCACTTATAACATTCCATATCAACCATTTCTCTACTGATGTGTATTTTTGTGTACTTTATGATGATACACACACACAAACACACACATATCACATCATATTACATATAAGTACCACATTATTATACATATAACACATTTTCTTTATTCCTTCATTACTTGATGGACATCTAAGCTGTTTTCTTTGTTTATTATGAATTGTGCTGCTATAAACTGGGTATGCATGTATTGCTAAAGTATGATGACTCCAATTATTTAGGATAAATACCGAGGACTGGTATAGCTGGGCCATATGGTGGCTCCCTACCTAATCTTTTGAGAAACCTCAATACTGATACCCATAGTGGTGGTGCTGATTTACAATCTCATCAACAGTGCAAAGGTTTTCCTTTTTCTGCACATCCTCTCCAACATTTGTTATTGTTTATATTCTTGATGGCTGCCATTCTGACTGGAGGGAGATGAAATCTCAGTGTAGTTTTAATTTGCATTTCCCTAATTGATAATGATGTTGAACATTTTTTTTTCATATATTTGGTGGTCATTTGCATTTCTTCTTTTGGAAGTGTCTGTTTAGTTATTAGTCCATTTATTAATTAGAGGAGTTTTTGGTGTTTTTTGAGTTCTTTATATATTTGAACATTAATCCTCTGTCAGAAGAGTAACTAGAAGGCATTTTCTTCCATTCTGTAGGTTTTCTCCTCGCATTTCTAATTGTTTCTTTTGCTATGCAAAATCTCTTTAACTTGATGCCATTCCATTTATTAACTCTTGGCATTATTTCCTGAGCTTTAAGGGTCCTGTTGAGAAAGTCATTGCCTGATCCTATATGCTAGAGTGTTTACCCTATGTTTTCTTCTAGTAGATGCAAGTTTCTGGTCTAATTCCTAGGTCTTTGATCTATTTTGAGTTGGCTTTGTGTAGGGCGAGAGATGAGGTACACAACAGTGGCTTATTAATCTATAAAGAAAAATAAGATTGTATCATTTTCAGGAAAATGGATGGAAATTCAGAACATTATGTTAAATGAAATAAATCAAATTCAGAAGGTCAAGGGTAGTATGCATCATCTTATGTGTGGAAATCGGAGAGGAAAAATGACAAAAAAATGTGGGGGGCAGATTTTATGAAAATTGAAGGGAGTTCAGTAGAGGGAAAGGACCATGGAGGGAGAGAAGAGAAGAGGAAAGGAAATACTATGGAATGATACTGGCCAGATAGTATTGTTATATGACATTGTAATTATTTCTTTTAATCATATATCTTTGTTAAAACATGTCAGTATATAGAAGAGATATCTGGAAATGGTCTTCTCCAGTCCAAAGTGTGTGTATCATATAATTTTGAGGTATTGCTGAATTGCAGTCTACTTCTAATGTATGAATACCTAGCATCCCACATTCTTGGCTCTTAAAAATATTTTAAATATTCGTCTATCTATAGGTCAAAGATTTATCTTTTAATTTCTATTTGAATATTTTTCACATTTTTCTGGCTATTCTCAATTATTTGAATTTGTATTATATTATCTTTTCCTCACGAAATCTTTAGATATTAAGGTTGCTATCTTTTCATGTACGTGTTAAGAAAGTTCTTGATGAGGTTCATAAT